GCGGGGAATCGAACCCCGGCCTTGCCGGCACTTGTTAGAGTGTTGTTGCTCTTGTTATGAGAGCGGCAAATCCTAGCCACTAGACCACAACGGATATTGTTGAAAGTAAATGTGGCAAATAGGTTTATGTCTAGCAGATTAAGACATACGCTCGCTGGTGGTGGTAGACAGCAACGACGGCCCTGCGCGGATGCATTACGCTTGTGCGTGGTTGCAGTGATTGTTAGCATGGATTGAACACGCTTATGCGCGGTCGCAACTGCCTTAAGTCGAGCTTCTGGTATGAAGTACGTTCGTTGGAATTCGGTTACAGAGTCCACGGAAGTTCTTTGTCCGGACGTGAGTAGCCGTCAGACGCACTGCCTAGAAATGAAACGGAACTAGGAGATTCGTGGCTTGTAGTCTATTTGTAAGTGGTTTTGGCTATGTCAAGACCATAACATTGTAGCTAGCTAAGAAGAAATATGCAAGTAGCATTCACGTCCTCGTGCGTCTATGAATTGACTACGGTATCACAAAGTCCTAGTACTCGGGGGGCTGGGAAGCTCTTGCTTGCATGGAGCAATTACACGAGTGTACCCCCGAAGAATAACATCTACCTCTGTGAAGCGGACTTCTGTGTGAAGTGAGTGTGCCAGCGAGACCTTTTAACGTCCGTTACCGTGAAGCGAGATTCACCGTCTTGCGAGATGGAGATATTTGTATGGAGTAGAAGAAGAGACCCAGTTAACATATGTAGCGTCTATGCGTGCTCCAAGGCCTTTCCACCCATACCCGGGACTCAGGTTGGGAGCTAGGCAAGGAGTACTCTGTAGGGACTGCTTGTATCGCTCTCTGTCTCGCTATACGGTGGATCTCGGTTCGCAGTGACGGACGTTAATGCACCGTCTTTTGCAGCAGAGCTAGTTAACTTTTTACCTTTTTTAGTATCGATTCTCGCATTTCCGCGTGTTAAATTTGCAAGGACAAATCTCGCTGTGCCGGATTCACGGTGAGGGATACTAAACACTTAACAAACTTCAGAGAGGATCGCAGTAGTGACATGAAGTTTAGACCAAACTGTGCTTAACCAGACATGGAATTTCTGACAGAGAAGGGTAGTCATGCAGTTATACATCACTGCTTGATTTTCGTAAAGGCCGATATTTTCCTATCAGATTTATGTAGACAAAGGCCGTAGCTAACCACCCCTTGCTCTGCTTTTTATGACATCCGTATGGCACTGTGTTTTTTGGTTTGTTGTTTGTTGTTTGTTGTTTGTTGAAACCAATGAAGCGGGACATTTGTGGCAGCTCAAGTGTCGGGAGGCTTCCAGTGTAGTGAAACCATCTTAATGCCTGGTTATCGGTGACTTTCACCTCAACTGGGTGTTACAGTCACCTACATCGTCTCCAGATTCCTTGGCACTGCGTGGGTGTTTAAAGTCTCGCCTTTCACCTTCTTCTTTCTTCTCCTTCTACCATTCACACCATCTTCCCCCTCGGAGATCTCAAGCTCAGACCCAAGTCGTCGACCACATCGCCGAAATCAGCTAGCCCGGCCTCAACGCCTGGGCTTGCTTCTTCGACACACTCAACTCACACCAACGGATGACAAAACTTCCTACACCCAACATTCTGTCCAAAGAGTGAAGGCTCAAAAGTTACCACCGAAAGACGCAACCATGCCTCCCAAGCGCAACCTCGAGCTGGACACAAACACTTCCAGCAACAAAGATGATACCCTTCTCACAAAACGTCGTCCGACCCAATATTACAGTACTTCCCAGTATCTTTTGAGGAAAAAGAACATGGAAGCTTTGATGAAATCGCCGGAAAGACACCAGACGTCCCAGTCCACAGCTTCACCAAGAGCGCGCAGCCTTTCAACCTCCAAGCCCCAAAAGAGAGAGGATGTAAGCTACTCTCTTAGTCTCCAAGCTGAAAGACCAACGTAACTAATCCTCTAGGTTACCCCGACCGAGGCCATTGACGTTATCAACAACGCCATCACTGATGAGAAAAATCGAGCAGTCGTGGAACGTGAGCGCGCAGACACTCTGGAGGAACGCAACGATTATCTCATGAAATTGTTGCATGAAGCTCGCAGGGAAACCCACAAAGAGACACACCGAGCCAACAAGCTAGCTTCCACTAATAATCGCACAGAGGCGGAGGTGAAGCGATTGGAAGACCAGGTTCAGTTCCTACTGCGCAAAGTGGAACGTAAAGATAAGGAGCGCCAGGAAGAGACTCATGCCCGTCATGGGCTTGAGCAGAAGCTGGCGGAGCGCGATGCCCTTCTTCAAGAGCTGAAGGATATTCTGCATGATTGAGTCTTTGGGGTGGCCGATGCGATCGAGATATGTGCCAAGGACCAGGCGGTGATAGGAAAGCAAGGTACATACTCCTAGGATGGAGACAGGAATAGGGTGCTTGAAAATGGGAGACAGAATAGGAAACACACCAAAGGACTCACTAAGTTCTTCAAATGCCATTGCTTATAAGCCGGACCCCTGTGCAGTCATTGGTGAATATCACAACTTCTGACGTAGAGATTGGACAGACAGTCACTAAACTATACCATTCATAATTTTTTCGTCATCGTGTTCTTTGGTCGCTGTGTTAAAGCAAACGCAGAGGCGGGAGGTTCCTTCCTTCCTTATTTGAGGTGCGGGTACTTAAACCCCCCACCTCTTTCGTTCCTTCCCTCTTACATCCCACAGCAATCCTCCGCCTTCGGACCCAGGCTGGGCTCAGCACGCTTACACAACCCAACCACGCCTCACCATATCGGCTTAATTCTCAACGAGCTGGACTCCTATTGACTCTCAAGTCGACCTCGTGCACCAGATCACGAATGGAGAGTGAGAACTCAGATCCAATCATCGTCGGCAAGGAAACGGCAACGATGTCTTCCCCGAGCCTCAAGCGCAAGGCAGAAGCCTCGTGCCCTGGTGAACCCGACGACGATATTGCACGCAAGAGGGGAACTCCAACTAAGGAAAAGACAGTGGATGATGTAAGAAACTTCTGTCAACAAAACTTTACAGTTCTCTACTAACCCAACGACCGAAGGCACTCAACGCGAAGAACTTCTTGAACCAAGCCATCGATTCCATGTACGATGTAGTTAAAGTCGAGAGGCAGCGCGCCGACACTCTTGAGGGATGCGTAGCCTCCTATCAGGAAGCTGTAGACACGTGGAAGGATTGCACAGAAAAGACAGAGAGACGTCTGTACACGGAAACGACGCGCGCCGACAAGGAGCAAGAACGCGCAGACAAGGAACGAAAGAGCGCCGATGAGCTTCGGGAACTACTGCACTTTGCTCGAATCGAGACCCTGGACGAGAAACGCCGAGCTGATAGCGCTCTAGAGTTGGCGGCAACTGCGTCGACCGCGGACCATCGTCAATCGAAGGTGTCGGTTTTGAACAGTGAAATTGCACTTCTCACGCAGAACTTGAATGATCAAGAAAAGGAATGCAAGGAGCAGGCTCTAGCCCGTGACGAGCTCAATCACATATGCGAGAAGCAGGTCGAAGAGTACCAAGATCTGAAGGAGGAGTACGAGAAGCAAGCCAAGGAACTCAAAAGGCTCGAAAAGAAAGTGGCCAAGCATGATGCACGTTTCAGAGAGCTGAAGGATGCCTTGAAGAAGGGAGCAGCTGCAGTCAGTGAGGCATCAGATGCCTATTCGAAGGCTCTAGCACTGACGGAGAAGAAAAAGGCGTAGAATGAAGGTTGAAGGACGTAGGCATTCACTGGTCTATTGCAATAAGGAACCTACGGTCTTGTTACATCACAAGATGTTCAGTCTTTTCATAACAAGAATTAGAATGACATAACTTACCTTCTATGCTTGTGCAACTATGAGAGGTTTCCGGGTGTTAACCGGGTGCATGAGCGAAACGGGGCAGCAAGCCCGGTCCCCCGTGTGAATTTATGTGTACTTAAATCCACCGACTCGCCTATTTCCTCTCCTACGACCCCCTACCTCTCCAACCTTCGGAGGGGCTCCCCAGACACCTACTCAGATCAGCCACGCCTTGCCGCCCCAGTCTGGTTCTTCGAAAACCCAACTCGCGCCTAGCCCCTAGCCGCCGACATGACTTTAACCCGGTCACAGACCAAGGGTAAACCTCCAGTCGGCGACAAGGAATCTACCACCATGTCGCGCAAGCGTAAACAGAGACTTGACACAAGTACTGCCAAACGTAAGAATGAGCATGCTCTCACCCCTAAGCCTTTCAGAGCCTACCGTTGATAATAAAACTGTCGCCATGCCATCCAAGCGCAAACGCGACTCGGACGGAAGCACTCTTGATAGCGAGGAAGACGCTGCCCTCACTCCGCAGCCTCCAGGCCACCACCGTAGGGGCTCCAGCGCCGCCAAGCACGTGAACATGGACGACAAGGTAACGCATCTCTCCTGAAGTGGCTCGTGACTTGTCTGACATAAATGCTCCAAGGTATCGAACTTGCTGGAGGAAATCGAGACATACCTACGCCGACTTCAAGACATCGTAGCTGTGGCCGAGGAGACTCTGAACCAGTCGACCGAGAACCTGGATATCCTCGAAGGTTTCGTGCATAGTTACAAGGCCACGATCATGGAGACGAAGAACCTGTCCATCGACCAGTTTTGCCGGGCAATGACGAGCCTGAAGAGATCGCAGGAGTCGATAGGCCGTTCGAGGGAGAACCAGAGGTTGTTGCAGCGGGCTATCGAAGACATGAAGAGGGGAGAAAAAGCGGTTCGTGCGAGGGTTGAAACAGTTAGGAAGAGAGGAACTTGGGATGCTGAGCTTGTTGCGATGCTCGAGGAGCTTCAAAACCTCCAGGAAGTAATTGAAGGATTTGCTTGAGATAGCCGATGCTCCTGGGACAAAGAGGGGGTTTGATCATATCCAACTCCAGCATTCGGTGGTGGGTAAACTCAGGCAACAACCTTCTACCAGATAGATTGGATCAAGCAACCATCGAACAATCCAACTGCTAATACTCAACAATGTTTCCAAATATTCAAGTTCGGAAACATGACACACTCTCGCTTCTGCTAAAGGTATGAAGAACAACAATCACGTCGACTATTACGGAAGAACAGGAGTAAAGAATGAAGAAAACCCACAATCTGATCTCACCAAAATCTCATCAATCTATCAAGACAATTGAAGAAACCATAACTTCATAACTCATAATCATCTCCTCCCACGCCATCAAAATCCACCACTCACTCATCTACCACGCCTCCCACTTCTGTCCACCCATAGCAACCAGCCGGTTGAACAGCTCGTCTCTCAACGGCAACGCCGTGATCTTCCACGTGCTGCCCCGACGATCCGTAATCTCCAAGCCGTCAGCAATCTCGCGATTCAGCGCCCAGCCGACAATCAGCTTCGCCTTCCAGCCGTATCCGCCTATCTTCTTCAGCTCCATGATGTCTGACACCGGAATACTCCACGCCGGGTGCAGGTCCTCACGCTCTTGCGTGCCCATCTTCTCGATCGTACTGTCTGTGCTGAAGGACACGCATGGGATTGTCGCTTTCGCTGTGATATATATATGTCCCTTGTTACCATGGTAGCGCGCTTTGAACTCGATGGGCCCGCTCGTGAGGTCTTCGTCCGGCCGCGGTACTGCGCCCAGCCGGTCCTTGGCCTTATCGCTGCCAGTCTTGGCTTTGAGCTTGTCGGCGCCGATGGCAGTCTCCACGACACCCTTGGTCGTGCCCTTGAAGAAGTTGATGATCTTGCTTCCCTTTCTGCCATGCTTGGAATCCTTGGAAGCATCGATGTCGGAGCCGCCAGTCTCGTGCGCTACTGTAGGGTCGTGGGCCATGGCATCATCGAGCTCCTCCTTCGTGGCATTCAGTGGCCAGTCAGCGCCAGTGGCACGAAGATGCTCATCCGTGATTGTTGTAGGCTGCTCAGGAGGTGCTTCATTGATCCTTGGGGGAGGCGGGAGGGGAGCCTTGTTTGCCTCGCCAATACGAAGGAGGGTTATTGTGAGTTGAGCATTGGTAGGAACGCCCTTGAGAAGAGTGCTGCAAGCAGTTAGCACGTGAAGTACAAGTTTTCCTTCATCACTTACTTTCGGATTTCAAGAAGCTTTTGCCAATTGGGAAATTCGCGGTTAAGCCAAACAAGACCACGCTGGATGACCGGGTCGCCGAAAAAACCAAAACCGGCACCGAATGTTACGCCTTTCATAAACATATATGATGAGACGAAGAGGGAAATCAATAGAATAGGGGCAACGACACCGGCCAGTCTGAGGCGATACGCATCGCGAGGGAAGGGCGGCGTCGGAGAGAGGGCACTGTATCAGCAATTAGCAACTACTCTCTCAAGACACACCGGAGAAGCCATACTTAGCAAATCGCTCCCACGTGTCAGAAACGTCTGCAATACCATGCATGATTGGTCTCATTTTGGTCCACATAGCTGTCTCCATGGGCACCTTGGTCTTATCATGCTTAGCCGTTGCCTTAGAACCAGAAGCCGCGTCCTTTGCATCAGCAGCCCCAACAGCAATAGCAGTTGGGTCTGGAGCAGCGTCTTGAGGAGCGCCATCCTCTGAATCAGGCTCGCCTTGCGGGTGTTTCCCGGTCGCGCTGCTTAAGGCAACTGATGCAATGCCGTTGACAAAGTTGCTGGCTTCCTGTTCAACCGCTTCACCCTTGTGATTCTCAGGAGCACCCGTTGCACTGTCCGTACTGGCCAGAACGCCAGATTTGGGTTTTTGAACTCCGCCAGTGCTTGAGTCAACCAAAGCAATAGGAGCCGGTGGAAAGAGTATGTCTCTGGATGGCGGATAGGCGATGAGTGCTATTAATGTCGCGGAAAACAGGGGAACCAGAAGGTCTAATAGCCAAGCAATGAAATAAACCTAGCACACAAAGGTCAGCGCAGCTTCAACGCAAATGCGATTGGCGCCTACAGTGCAGAACCATGTGGTCCTCCTTGTCTCTCTCCATGAACGTAGACGGGCAATTTGCTTCACTGCACCCATGAGTCCGATACCCACAGTCATGTACAGCCGTTCTATGTTGGCCCTAAGCTTGTCCGGGGAGAATTCCTCCTCATCTGCGATATTGAGGTCGAGGTTCCCAGGGACCGGATGCGGAACCTCCTTAACGTGGTACATTTGCTATGGTGGCGTCAGCACCAACTTCCAAAAGGCTAACGCGACAATCAGAAAAGGCTATCAACAAACCTTGTTGAAACGTCTCGTCAACATCCACAATTCCTCATTGTCCATGCCTCCTACCAGCGGACTAGGAATCGCAGGTTTCGGCGCGTTCCATCCCAGATCGGCCACTTCGTTGCCATGATGCTGTTGTGCGAGGCCTGTCGTAGGCGCCTCGTCGTCTTTGCCCATGGCAAGCGAGTGGCTCAACGTTGGCTCATCTCTCACCGTGGTGGCCACTTCCCTCTTCGCAGGGTCTGTAACAGGTTGAGTACTGTCCATGATGGGCACCAGGTCCTTGTAGCAGACGCCTGGGCGTTGCGACATGGCAAAAGGGGTCTGCGAGAGGAGGACTGAGAGATTCCGAGGGTGGTAACGCAGTGCGGGGCGGATAGTGATAAATGTAGGGCAGCGTGCCCTGCTGGCGGTATGGAGGAGTCGGTAGTACGAATGCAAGAGGCCTGCGGGAGTTGAGCAATGAGGAGCGACCTTTATTCTGCGAACGCGATCAAGTAGTTGGGAGGCGCAAAGGTGCAGAGGGAAACATGACGTCGGAGGCTGGCCGCAAAGGGCAGCAGCCTGGCAGTCAGGGCTGGGACAAGCATTTGGCCTTCCCTTTGCAGCAACCCGACGCGTTCATCTTTTACCCTGCTTTCGCGTTCGCTACCTATTGAGGCAGCTATCATCATCGATCTCCGATGATGTTTGTTTGTCGGCGTCGCGTTTGAGGACAACGATCTACGTATCCCAGGCGCTAATCACGGCAGTCTGTGCTTTTTGACAGCGGGGGGCCCCTGCACCCAGCAAACTGGGAGGCCAAGGGTACGTAAAGCGAGAGTCGCCGCGATGCGAAATGGTCATACTTGTATGGGGTAGAAGAAGAGCCTAGTTATGATATGTAAGATCTCTTCGTCTATACCGAGGGCTCGGGGTAGGAGTTAGGCAAGGAGTACTCTGTAGGGACTGCTTATATCATCCTCTGCCTCGCTATGCGGTAGATCTCGATTCACGATGACGGATATTATATTATATCGCGATGTCTTCGGTCATTAGGGTAAGTTCGGGCTTAGAGCTAGACAAAGAGCACTCTATAGGGACTGCTTGTATCATCCCCCGTCTCACTAGGTAGACGGTGATCTCGGTTCGCGGTGACGGACGTTAGTCGCCATCGATCATCGGAGAAGAGTGCCATTGTACAATAGGTAGGCAAGAATAGGAATCTAAGCCAATCAATCCTCTCCACCCTCTATCCCATGCCCTGCCGTGTTCTCGCTCCTGCAACGCCACCATGAAGCCGCCACAATAAATTGTCAAATGATTAAATGTTGGGTGATAGCATGTCGTACTTGACGCACATCTCGACGCTCTCAACGGACGCGCGGAGGAAGCTGCGCGCCTCCAGACCAGCCCAGACTTTGAGCATGGAGAAATCGGCACCCCTGATCATGCCCGCACCACTCTGGGCACCGACCTGGCGAAGAATAGGTAGGGCTCTGGAAGCACATATTAGCAATTGTGGATGCATTCGAAACATACGCTTGGACTTACCCTGCGAAGAGATCCATGTCAGGATCCAGATTTCTGCCAATACCCTCCAAAAGCAAAACACTCAGCACAACGTTGACAAAGTCGCCCTCGAGTCTGACATGGTGCCCTCTGACCATAGCCAAGACTTCGTTGAGGATATCGCCGATCTTGATGTTGCCCAACGCGAATGTTCGGCTCTTGACGCTGAGTACCAAATGCTGCATGCGCAAAGCAAAGACCTCTTTATCAATCACCGCGTCTGGCTGCCTGCATCTTTCTACCATCAGATGGCCCGCCTTGTATCCGTCAAACTCGGCAATCGCCTTGAAAAGAGCGAGGAAGTTCTCGCGATTCACATGATTGAGCTCAGTCACGAGGCCGGTGTCAATGAAGATGAGCTGCGGACGGTAACCCTCTCTATCTAGCTGCTCAAGCTGGGCAACCCACTCTTTCTTCTTGCGCTTTAGCGGCTGCATGCGCTGTAGCACCTCTTCGGTTACATCGACGCCGTTTTCGACAGAGCTTGGCGTCTTTCTGTAACGCCAAGACGGAACGTCCAAGGTTTCGGGCTTGTAGAACCGCACCATGATATTGCCCGGGTGAAGATCGGCATGAATAAAGTTATCGATGATAACCATGTGGAGGAAGGCATCGAGACCTTCATCGGCAAGCTCTTTTTGGTAGACACCCCCGCCATTCTCGAGGAAATCTTCGAGTGGTATGCCATGAGCGAACTCTTCAATGAGAACCTGCCGAGTCGTGTACTCCAGATGCGGGTAAGGGAACCATGCGGTCGTGCGCTCTTTGAAGTTCTTTCGAAAGATGGTAAGGTTTGCTGCCTCTATGCGGAGATCCAACTGCAACTTCATCATTTCCGCGAACTGCTTGACCTCATCGGGAAAAGAAAGCCATTCCATGGTCGGAATAGCGTTGATGGCAGAGGCAAAGAAACCCATAATACGCAAATCCCTTCGGACAATCCTCTCCACATATGGATGCAAGACTTTGACCGCGACGTACGATGACGGGACGCGATGCGGGGTGCTTTTCAGAGTCACATCGACATTCTTCCTTAGTCGTTGCCGTAGGTTTCGGGGTTGGCCATCGTCTTCGGTTGCCGCGGTGAGGTCCGGTTTAAGCTTCGCTCGATAAACTTGAGCAATAGCGCCTACTCCCATAGGTTTCTCGTCGAATTCCTCGAAAATGTCCTCAAACGGACGTCCGTCAAATGCCCGCTCTACGATCTTCTTCGTCTGATGTATCGAATGCGCAGGTGCATTCGAGTGGAGCGAGGACATGACGGCGCACATCTCATTGGGGAAGATGTCCGATCGCGATGCAGCCCACTGGCCCAACTTTATAAACGCTGCTCCTGCCCTCTCCATGCTTCCAACCAAGAAGCCATACCACCACAGAGTCCCCCTCCTCTCATTGTCCCTATCCTCGACCCTTGGACCTAGCCATATCATCGGCACAGTCAGGATGACTGGCACGAAAATGATTACTAGATGCAGGAACCTCAGCCCTGTCGCGATAGGCTCCCAGATGTAATTGTCAAAGAACAAGTATATTCCCTTCCGGAAGCCTTTGGAATTCTGGATCACGTGAGGAACTTGATCTTTCAACTCCGCGCGCGAAGCTTCGAGCATGAGCTGTTCTCCCGTGCGGTCATCGTCATCGTGGTCCTGGTTGGAGAGGCTGACGAAGACGGCGGGGCTCAAGGCGCAGAGCAGCACGGTGCTGCGGCCGGCATAATTTGTCCGTGGAGGTGTGCGAAAGTATGAGGATTTGAGGAATGGGAGACGGCCGCGAGCGGAGGACGTAAATGCGCGACGATTAGCTTGCGCGAAGGCGGCGCGCGCGGCGGCGCAGGAGGTGAGCTGGTGTCGGCATTGGCGGCCTAGGAGAGAGACCGTTCTCATAGTCTCAGGGGGAGGTCAGTACTATGAAGGTGTTGGCAGAGCCATGAGAGATACGGAGCAAGTGGGAGGATATGGCGGGATCTGGGTTGACGGGCAGGCGGGTTTGGTCGATGATCGCAAGCCGTAAGGATCATGACGTCGCGCGCTTGGAGCCGCGGGCCGGGCCTGGAACGACAACTCTCCTCGGCCACAACTTTGCCCACGTGAAACGAGCAACAACCTAGGTAGGCACATTACGTCCGTCACCGCGAACCGAGATCCACCATATAGCGAGACAGCGAGACAGGGGACGATATAAGTAGTCCCTACAGAGTACTCCTTGCCTAGCTCCCAGCCCGAGTTTTGGGTATGGGTGAAAAGGTCTTAGAGCACATACTGACTCTACACATCTTACTAGGCCTCTTCTTCTATCTCGCTTCACGGTGACTGACTTTACATTACGCACAAAGCCAGCTACGTACAAGGTCACTCCATTCCAATCGTCTTAAAAGTCAAATTCCAACCTCCAACGCCTTCCGCTCCTCCCTATGCCGTGACGAAGCCCTCGAACCCGTTATCCAGCGCCTTGCGGCACTCTTTGGTATACAGCGGAAACCCACCCGAAAAACTCAATTGTTCTCGGACCTTTCCAGCTATGTTGGCTCCCATATACCAGCTGTCCACGTTATGGAAGAGCGTCGCCTTGCTCAGCTTCTCGATCTTGTCATGCCAGTCCAACTCCGCCGCCCGCGTCGCGTCAATGTAGCTGATGTTTTCCTCTTTCATTTTCGCCATGGCGTCGAGGATCCAGTCGCCCTGACATTCGACGCATGAAGGGCCGTTACTGAATGCAGTCGGGCCCTGCGCGCCATACAAGAAAAACATGTTCGGGAAACCGGAAATCGTCATACCAAGGTGCGAGTAGGTGCCGTTCTTCCACTTCTGGCTGAGCTCCACACCATCAACGTCCTTGAGGCCCATCGTCTTCATGCCTCCTGTCACGCTGTCGAAGCCCGTCGCCAGTGCGATCGCATCAAACTCGCGTAGCTTGCCGTCGGACGTTCTCAAGCCTGTCTCCGTACACTCGATGATGGGCGTTGCGCGGACATCGACGACCTCATTCTCGGGCTGGTCCAGCACTTCGTAGATGTTTTGCTCGAGAGACGGCCTCTTGGTCCCAAACGGATGCGGCTTCTCCAACGGAGCGAGTAGATCACGCTTGACTGGATCCGAGATACGAGCGCGAGTCTTCTTTACCCAGAACTTGTACGACTCCTCATTTGCCTTCTCGTCGAACAGCATGTCCCTGTAATTGCCGAGCCAGAAGTGGAATCCACCTTTCTCCCAGAGCGACTCGAAGAACATCTCGCGCGCTTCGGGGGAATCGTCAAGTGTGTCTTTATCATAAAAGTCCATCGGGAAGCCGGCAAAGGTTGTCTGACAGTACTTGAACATCTCTGGATAGTTCTTTTTGTTGGCTTCCTGCTCCTCTTTCGCCAATTTTCTTTGCCGCATGGGCAAGCAAAGATTAGGTGTCCGCTGGAAGACCGTGACGGATTTGGCAGTCTTAGCCCACTCTTGCGCGATTTGGATGCCAGTAGAGCCAGTACCAACGACGGCTACCCGCTTTCCAGTCACGTCGACTCCTTCATTCGGCCAGAACGAAGAGTGATGCATTATTCCCTGGTACTTTTCGAGACCGGGCCAGTCGGGGAAATGGCGCTTTGCAGCAAACCCCGTCGCTACAATGAAGAACTTTGATCTGGCAATGCGGCCATCTTCTGTTTTGACAATCCACCTAGCGGAAGGCTTGTCGAATTGAGCGTCCACGACTCGTGAGTTGAAGATGACGTCTTTGCGAACACCGAGCTGCTCATCCACATACTTGAAGTATTTCCGGAGCTCTGTGAAGTCGGGATATTTCTCAGTCCAGGTCCAGTTCTGTTACACATTAGTCCAGCCCCCCTCATTGGCTCCCCTGTTTACTCACTTTCCAAAGCTTCTCGATACTGTATTCGTATACAGGAACCATAGAGTCGACACGAGCGCCGGGATAACCATTCCAATGCCTGTGCGCATGAAATTAAATTGAGAGCATTTATCAAATGCAGCCGAGGGCTCTTACCAGATACCACCCAGGTCCTTCCCAGCCTCAAATATCTTGACGTTGTATCCAAACTCGTCACGCAGTTTGTGTAGCAGGTAGACGCCGCCGAAACCCGCGCCAACGATCAAAACATCCACCTCCAAATCGCCATGATAACCGTTCGTTGTCTCTCCACCAACATGCTCATCAACACTCATGTCCCGGCGGAGATGCATTTTCGCTGGTATGGGTAACCAGATCTAGGTTTTGTATCCGCAACCTGTACTCTAAGTGCGAGGGTAAGGAAATACAAGTGCAATGACTATACCACCAACGATGGTAGGACGAGAGAAACAAAGACGGCAAAAAAACGCGCGTAACAACAAGTGATGGGTTCAGAGCCCGGATCCATACAACTCTTATACGCCCTCGCCCCACGGGGCAAGTAGCTCCCGAAAG